CAGGAAAGAAGCCTGACTATGACGTCCTGATCCAGAGTCACAGTGGATCAAGCCGTCTAAACAGGAGTCACAACTGCTGGGGAGCAGGGAACAGGTTTGAAAAGCTGGAATTTTTCAAATTCTACAAAAATGATAAATCCAACAAGAACCAAGAAACCCCAAATAGAACAGGCGTGGGCGCCACACACGTGCACACATACACACACACACACACACACACACACACACACACACACACACACACACACACACACACACACACACACACACACACATACACACACACACACACACACACACTATACACACACACACACACACACACACACACACACACACACACACACACACACACACACACACACCACACACACACACACACACACACACACACACACACACACACCACACACACACACACACACACCACACACACACACCCACCACACACACACACACCACACACACACACACACCACACACACACACACACACACACACCACACACACACACACCACACACACACCACACACACACACACAAATTGCAGACAGCAGTGAAGAGGAAAATGTGAAAAGCAGCCCAGGAAGAGACACTGAACAGTGGAAAGGAGATACCCTGCAGTCAGGAGATGGAAACCACACCCAGTTTGGAGTTAGTATAAAGCACAACTCAACAGTAACAAGGGCCTCCCACTTGTGTGCAATGGCTTCCTTCTGGAGCAGAGGCCCAGGAGGCCTCAGGGGCAGCCACCAATGCAGGATGCGGGCAACAGACTGGAGAGGCACTGAATGTCTGTCTTGGTGCATCCGGGCATCTTGAAGTGGTCAAAATGCAGGCTTTTTGAAGGAGCATGGTCGTGCTGTGCGGGATGATGGGATGGCTAAGGGGCCACAGCCAAGGCTGGCAAGTGGAAAGTTCTGCAAGCACCAGCAAGCCTCACTGGGAACCAGAGAGCACCAGATGTGCCAGGGACCGTCCCTTCTGAGTGCTGGAGAGATGCCTGAGAAGCAACCTGCAAGATGCCACTAAGTCAGGAGGGTGTCACAGGACATCCCCATGCAGCTGGCAGGCACATGTCAGAAACTAAGAAGACACCTTGGACCTGCCCTTCCTCCTTCAATGTCCCTCCAACTCATTCTAGTGACAGAACTCAGCACTGGCCCAACAGGTGGAGAAGAACATGGGGCCGAGCTGCATGTCACCAAGCAGGGTAAGAGAAGCACCTGGAAGCTAAGAGGCAAGATGCTGACGCCTGGCACAGTGCACAGAGAGATGTGAGACTCTGTGCACTGAAGAAAGGCAGGGGTTGTAACTGTCTGTCTAGAGCTCTATCCATGAAAATATCTTTCCAAAGGAAGACCACAAAAGCAATTCAATGATGGACAGTTTTGTTTTGTCAGTAAATGGCACTGATGGATGTCAAAGGCAATAGAAAGTCTCAGAACTTTCCTAAAAATTAGCTCAGATGACTTGTGGATGTCAATGGGAAACAAAACCATGAAACTTTTAGAAAACCCATCAAAAACTTTGGGAGCTATGACTAGGCAAAGAGTTCTTACTCTTACATCAAAAGCACATCCATTAAAGGGAAATGAGTAACTGGGCAAAATCAAAAGTTTAAATGTTTCCTCTTAAAAAAAGTTCCTGGTTTAAGAGGAAAAACAGAAAAATTATATATGGGAGGAAATATTTGCAATGCACAGATCTGACAAAGAACTTGAATGAAGAATTTTCAAAAGAGTGAAAATTCAATTAGAGACAGCAAAAGAGCTGGGCGCCAGTGGCTCATGCCTGTAATCATAAAAATAGGGCTGGTGGAGTGGCTCAAGGAGAAGGCCGAGTTCAAGCCCCAGTATCACAAAAAAAAAAAAAAAAAAAGACACGACAGGCATTTCTCTGCAGAGAATGAACAGATGAAATGGTGCACAGACAGATGGCCACCATGGCATCACTCGCCACCAGGGAAACGAAACCGCCACAAGAACACAACACACCTATCAGATAAAAAGTGACACCACCCATGCTGGCAAGGATGCGCCAGCTACTCTGGAAACAGTGTACTTCCTCACAAAAGTACCCCTGCTCAGTACACCACCACTACTTGTGGGGCTTCACCCCAGCGAAAGGAAAAGCCACGTTCACACACACAACAGTCCAAACCTCACAGCCCAAGACCAATGTCACCAGCCACACGTGGCTATGAGCACTTGAAACGTGGCTGACAGAATCCCAGAAATGTGGTTCTAACAATGTACACCGGTTTTATAACAATTAAGACTAAAACCAGTAAAACAGCTCATGAATCAACGAATTTAACATGTTTTTTAAATGCTGAAGTGACTCCTGGGATTTTTATAATTACATATGTGGCTCAGGTCGTCCTTGCACTGAAATCCAGTATTTTCGGGATAAAAGATGCATTGTCTACCAAAAAAAGGAACGATCCACTACAAGTATAACTACATACAAAAGTAAGGCAACCAAAAAAGAAACTGCACACTAATTAATCAAAGAAAAGATGGAGTGGTTTCATGAACTCATTAGTATACACCTCAGAAGGGATGGGGGTCATAGTGAATAAGGAGACGTGACATACCCCAGCATGCACGCACCTAATAGGGTTTAAAAACACGCAAGCCGGGGGAGGGGATAAAGGAGAATGATGGAGGGTGTGAATTTAACTATGATATATCGTTAAGCACTTATGTAAATGTCACAACGTACTCCCAGTAGAGTTAAAAAAAAATTTTAAATGCATGAAACAAAAACTGCTAAGACAATGGACAATTACTCAAACCCACAATTACAGCTAGACAGTTAAGTATCTTTTCAGGAATGGATAGAAGCAAACAAAAACTAAGAAGCTGATAGTGTTCTTCAAGCTGAAGATGGGTAACCCAACCTCACCTGTTTCTGACACTCCAGCTGACAAATGGGACACCCATTCTTCCCAAGTGCGGTACCCAGCGTTACCAAGGTGCAGTACCCACTGAGCGGTTTCCAACATTACCAACTGTGCAGCACCCAGCATGCAGTACCCAGGAAGGCTCTGCAAATAGAAAGGAAATGAAATAGCAAGGTAACCGCAGTGGAATTAAACCAGTTAACAACAAAAGTCTGGGGAAAAGCCCCACATGACATGTTAAAGCACATCTCTGGGTAAGGGATCAAAGAGATTACAAGGGAAATTAGAAAACCCAGTATGTCAGTCAAGGACTCTGGGCTGCACATCTGGGGATGCTGGCACTATCTCCCACTAGGAATGAGTAGGTGTTCCACGCCCACCAACAGAATGGACACCTGTAGCACTTTCACACAATGAGCAATGAAGCAGTGAGAAGGAACAACTTGCAACCACGTGGATGGCTCTCACAAGCAGGTTGAGGAAGAGAAGCCAAAGTGACAGAAGGTAAGAGACATCAGGCTGCCCATCAACGTGGGGGGAGAGGCAGTGGCTAGAAGGAACATGAGGGGTTCTCAGCAGTTGGAAATGTCCTATTTCTTGTTAGTACCATTACACACATGTACTCAGTTGGTAAAATTCCAGCTTGTGTATTTCATGCATTTTTTTTTTTAAACAGTAGTGGGGATTGAACCCAGGGCCTTGCACATGCTACCTCTTGAGCCACAGCCTCACGCCTTTTGTTGTATGTTTTGGGTCTTGCTAACTTTGCCTGGGCTGGCCTTGAACTTGTGATCCTTCTGCCTCCACCTTCTGAGTAGCTGGGATTACAGATGTGCATTTTTTATTTGGACCCTATGCATACTCCAATCAAAATGAAAACAAAGAAGTACATACAACTGAATATGGTAACCAGGTTTTTTTAATCAATAAAAGAGTCCAAGGGCTATCCCCAAAAGTAGAACATACAGAAACTAAAAAAAAAGGAAAGATAAAACTTGAAGGGATATAAGAAAAACAAATCTTTCCACAACAGGCCAATGAATGAAACTGCCAAGGGAAGAAACTGCTCTGTGATAGGAAAACGGCCCTAGCAACAAGGCACTGTGGAGGGAAGAGTATGTGTGTGTGTAGGGAGAGGGGGAGGATTTGCTGTTGTTTGAGGCAAAGGGTTTGAGATACAAAACTCATCAAATATGATAGTGTCAGGATCCAAGTCAATTTCTGGGACACCAAGGGGTATGAACATGGACTAGTCCATCAAGGGGACAAAGCTGGATACATGGCCTAGAGGTGTGGAGGGACCAACTGCAGGACCAGACAGGACTCTGGCTGAGCAGGAGGCCACTCCTGGCCCTGGGGCCAGATGAGCCAGAGCCACAGAGAGGAGGTCAGAGGAGGGCTGGCTGCCTGGTCAGAAGATGCATTCTTACAGGAACTGTGGCAGGCTCAGAACCAGAGCAAGGCAGCAACACCCTTCTCTACTGCACTGGCCAAACCCATCTGGCACCCAGGTTAGCATGTCCAGGGGCAAAAGCCAGCAAGGGGACAGTATGAGCTAGTGAAGTCACCCACTCAAGTGTCATGGTGACTTCTGTTAGTGACGAGGGTATAGTCACTGTGGGGAGATATCACGGAAAGCCATGGCCTCTGGGGAGAGAAGTGGAGATGGGATCGGTGGGAGCTGGACAGAGTGGGCCAGGGGAGCCATCAGCTTGGTCAACGCTGTTTGGCCTCTGTCACATAAAAGTAATTTCAAGCAACAACTGGAAAGATGGGTGGTCATCATGGTCCCTCACCTCCAGCCTCTCCTCTGACATTAGGAAAGTGGCTCTCTGGCACCACCATGTGGCCTTGTCAGTAAGCCTCCTAGCCAGACACCAAGTGGCCTTGCATGCCTCTGAGCAAAGCCCTACACTGAGTTCAGGGGTGCACAGCCACATAGGGGCTCCCCCACAACCTGCACCACTGGTAGGGATGGCCTAGACTGAGGACTCAGACTGGCCCACAGGCAACACAGGACAGATGACTGAGGAGAAAGGGGCAAAGTGAACACAGGAAGAACAGATTTTGCTAAAGAAATTAACCAGTTCATTTTTTTTTTTTTTTGTCCAAGTTGTTTTGGTTCTGGTTTTCTGAGGCAGGCTCTCGCACTGTGAATAAGGTCAAGCAACAGGGGCGTACAGGGTCCCGTAAGGGGCGCTGGAGCCACTGAGCCACTGCTGTCCCACAAAGGTGAGCGGCTGGTCACGCCACAAACAGCGCTGCTTGCAGACCAATGTTAGAATAGTAAGGACTATGAACACTGAGGCTGTGTGGTGCTGATGGCAGCGGAACTTTGCTTCTCTGTGGCCAAGTCATCGCCAACACAGGCAGCTACACTTGTGCTTTTGTGCTTAGGACAGAATCACAGACAGCAGGCAAAAGCTTGGCCCAGCAACTTGCCTGGCACAGCCAGTCTAACCACCAAGAAACATGCCTCCAGACAGCAGCTGCACCTCCCTCCCGAGCAGCACACGCACTAAGGACAGAGACCAGCTCCACGGTTGCTGCAAATGTTCCGGAAAGCTGCAAATCCAGCTGACACCGTTGCTGCCCTGCAGCATGTGTAGAGTTCCCATCAGGACAAAGACTTGCAATGTCACCAATCATCTTCCTGTAAAATGAGGGTCCAGCCAGGACCACATCCTCTCACCTTGCCCCGAAGCAAGGTCCCCTCCCTCCATCCCAGGTTTCTGAAAATGCACGTCACTTCTACACTGGGCAGACACTCGCCACACAGGCTACTAAGCATGTGAACCATGACCAGGCTGCAGAGAAATGGAACACGCAGCCACACCCGTGTTTCAGCGCACCACCTGGACGGCGCACAGTAAGGACATGAAAACATTTGCAGACGGCCCAGGGGCAGCTGAGTTCTAATGTATGGGCCAGGGCATCTCTTCCCAGAAGCTGAAGTTGCTCAAAGATGGCTCCCCTTTCCATGCACACTCACGAGCGAGGCTAATGCACCGCATGGTCTCCCTTCAGCCAGAGAGGACAAGGACACCAGGCAAGAGCCTGCACTCAGCGATGCAAATCATCCTAGAGCCTGGAAAGCAGAGACGGCATGCTGAGCTGGTGGGGACCTAGCTTATGCCCTCTTTCTTCTTGGGCAGCAGTGACAAGGAAGATGAGCAAAAGCAGCCGTGTCTCACGGTGGGGCCGTCATGAGCCGAAGTCAGCAGCTCAGGGCCTCCCGCGCTCTTTTGGCCTGGCCAGGCAGGTCTGATGGGGGGCTCCTCTGCCGCTGCTGCCTCTCCAGCCGCTGCTGCAGCCTCTCCTCCTTCTTCTTCAAGTAAGAGGCCATGTTGTCGAAGGTGGCCTTGTAGAGGCTACGGAAGCCATCCTCTGCCCCCACAGAGCCTGTGACAAGGAGGAGAACAGATGCCAGGTAGGACAGTGACTTGAGACTTGGCCTCTAGCAGCCAAATCCCACCAGCCCAGAACTCAAGAATTCCCACAAGGCTCTCCTGAGAGGGGGAAGGAACTTGGTGACAATCCAGATTGCACTCGGGACCACTCCCATGCTGCCACCTCCCAGATCCATGCCTGGCTGGGCCTGGGGACTTGCTTCAACAGAATGTAGCCAAAGGGAAGGGGCAGACATGGGAAGTGGGGACAAGGGCTGGGCTGCCACCCAGTCAGCACCCTCTTGCTCACTCACAAGAGTGAGACTGGTTGCAGGTTGTGAGCTGTCCTGGGGGAGGCCCACCCAGCAGGAAACTAGGGCAGCAGCCTCAGGCCAATCACCAACACTGAAGCTAGGCCCTCAGTCCACCAGCAACCAGTGCTGACACTGACCACAGACTCCTCCCAGCCCCTGAAGCAGTCACTGATCCAATATTCAAGCTGTGGTGCTGTCCCCCATGCCCTCTCTCACCCCCCCACATCTGCAAGCAAACAGTCCACCTCCTATGCAGAACATCTCAGAAGCAAAGCCAGACTTTGGCCTGAGACTGTGTGAGGTGAGGACCTCAGCAGGACCATGCCAAGAGGCCCCAGAACAATGGCCAAGAGGACAGCACAGTCCAGGCTTCCGGAGTGGTACCTGGAGGTCTCTGGCGCAGCCAGCTGCAGACCCACCTTGAAGTGCTGCTAAAGCAGATCCAGACCAGGCTGTGGAGGCATGGCCTTGTCCCCAGCTCAACCTTCAACCACAAGAGCTTGACAAAGACACTGGGAAGCAGCTGGGGAGTGGGCGCACCCTCACAGAGGACACTCAGACCACAGCTCTGAAACCGAGTCTCGTTCAGATCCTTCTAGACTCCAAGGAGCCCCACTGCTCAAGGGAGTTGACTTTGCAGGGTTTCTCCTGAACACTTTCTCACCTCAGTGGAGGCTGGGTGTAGTCCTGTGAACATTACTGCCTCCCATTTCTGCCCAAAGCACCAATGGACACCAGAGCCTGTACCTCCACTCAGCAGGCACTGTGTCGGTGCCCAGGGCCTCAGGCTAATCAGGACACATGGCTCTCATGGCCTCCCCTTCTCTCTAACCACAGCAGCCAAGTGATTGCCTGCCGAGAAGAGCTCTTTCCCTTTGACAGGCACCTGCTCTAGCCAGGAAGCTCTGCACCTCCACTGCAGCCTCCTGCTGTAAGCTAAATCCCTGCAAGCACCCTGTGCTCCTGCTCTCACCTTCCAACATGGCCCAGTTCCCACGGAGATGACTGGAGAGCCTCTGGGACACAACACTTTCAGGAACAGGCTGCAAACAACAAAGAAGCCTGGATCAGGACTGAAGCCAGCTGCAACACACACCCACAGGTGCTGTGGGAGGCCCAGGGAGGCAAAGGCCAAAGGTCTTGTCCTGACAGAAGCAGAGGCCTCAAGGACATGCCCATCACCTCAGCAGCCTCTCAGGCCTGGCAGGCCACACCACTGTTCAGATAAAGCCCAAAGAGTTCAAAGTTCTTGGTCAGGGGAGGACAGGAGAGTGGGAGCTCACTGAGGGCCAGCAACCCACCTCATCCCCCGCCCAGCAAGGAGGCTGCTGGCCCACAGCACCACGCCTTCCCTAGTCCTGGTCAGGGCTCCATGTGCTCCCAGCACAAGGTCTGTCAGCTGGGCCTCTGCATGGGAAGGACATCCATGCCAGGCCTGGTACCAGCTTCACCTTCACCACTAAAGAGACGTGGGGCATGGGACGAGGGTCCCAGAAAAGACACATCACTGATGGCAATCCCCTGCCCACAAGAAGCTGCCTGTACCCTAGCAGGGACAGGTTGGTGGCACCTGGCTCCCTTCACCATGCCAGACCTCCAGCCACGGCCCCACAGGACACAGCCCTGGGACTCAGACACAGCCCAGCTGAAGGTGGCTCTGGACAGTGAGAAAACCACAACTTGCCCTGCCAGGCTGACAAGATAGCAGGCCCCAAGCACCAAGATGCTGCAGAGTCTCACCTGCCACTGGCTGCCCACAGGCTTCCACAGCACCAAGGGGGTGTCACGGCAGTCCTGCAGAACCCACAGCCCCTGGGTGTCCTCAAATGCAATGTCCCATACCCGGTGCGAGAAGGTCAGCTGCTGTCTGAACACTAGCTCCTGTCTGCTGGCATGAAGGTGGAAGACGAAGACCACAGGAACACTTTTCAGGAGAGAGGGGACAGTCACTACCACGACCATAGGTTTGCAGTGACATGCCACATACGCTGAGTGTCAGCGCTCAGCCTCTGTCCACACCGACCGAGACACCGAGTCAGAGGGCCTGAGGTGCCCAACCCATGAAATAGCACATTTGCTGTCTGAGTGCCCGAGTTCCAGGGCAACTTTTACACAGCCAGAGCTGACCAGCACAGGCAAAGGGTGAGAGGGTGGCCATGCCACCTGCTAGGCCATGTGCAGAAAACAGAGCTCTAGGCATCTTCTCTCCTCTGCGAACCCGTGCCCTCAGCTTTAAGTCAGCCACGACTGCCTGCCAGGCCAACGAGGACAAAATGCGGAGCACAGAGAGCCCCAGACAGTGCGTGGCACAGAGCAAATGCTCACTTGATGGGCACAGTGGTCAGGCAGGATGCGTCAAGATCCGTTCTGGGTGGAACTGACTGAAGCAGGTCCTCCCACAACTGGCCTGTCAGGCACAAAACCCACGTGGAGGCCACTGCTATGTCAAGTAAAAGAGTTGGGTCAGAAAGAACCCAGCCCTCGTGCAATGAGTGAGAGGTACTGCTGCACAGTACCACTCATGCCCTGGACACAAAGAGGACGTGGCCTGCAGGCTGGAAGGAAGCGAGAGACAACTGCAGCTTACCAATCACACAGAAGCGCCAAGCAGCTCTCCTGGCCCCAGAAAGTGATCCTGGACGCAGCAAGGCCCTGTAAGGAAAAGCAGCTGTGGCAGAGGCCAGACCCTGCCCGTCACACCCACGGCCCCCAGGCAGGGTAAGGAGGGAACAAGGATGTTCTGGAAATCAGTGAGAAGGACTCGCCCCAGCCTCACAACCCTGACAGGCCGAGGCAGATGGCAGAATCCTGCTTGTGGCCCTGGCCTGTGCGATGCCTCCAAAGCCACAAAATGGCAAAAACAAGGAGGGGGAACTGCAGGCTTGGGAAAGAGAGGGCCTCCATCACAACACTAGGACTGTGTTTCCTGGACAGGAAGTGCTAACAATGAAGGAGAGCCAGGCGTGGTGTGTGTGCCCACAGTGGGGCAGGAGGAGCAAGTCTGAGGCCAGCCTGGGCTACATAGGAAGATCCTGCCTCAAAAATAAAAAAGGAAGCTTCCAGAAGTCCCATGGAGTTGGAAGAAAAAGACTGCTAACTGGGTCAGCCCAGGAGAGGACAGAGGCCTACTAAGAAACACAGCTGCCCATCAAGGACGTAATTGAGGCCTGGGCCAGCGGGGAACACTGGGGTGACCCCGCCCCATCCACTGACGAAGCCAAAGCAAGGCTCTTTGCCCAGAGCCACTATTTTCCCCTCACAAGTGTGATTACAGGCCTTTCTGTATGTTAGCTGTTTGAAGGCACTTCCCACACGTGTGCCTAGGCACCTTGAGAGCTGGAGATACAGTACACGATTTCTCCAAGTTCGAAGAAGTCTCAAACCAACAACAAAGAAGTGTTCCTGACAGTCAAGTGGCCTCCCCCTCAACCCCAGCGAATGGAGGCTCCCTGACAAGCAGGCTATACCCAAGGTGGCTACCTTGTGGCCCTGAGGGTCCACTGGTTCCAACAGGCTGGCCAGGTCGCAGCAGTGCAGTTGCCGACCGCTCCTGTACTCCCATAGCCGCAGGGTGCTGTCCTAAACACACAGATGACACACGGGTTAGTACAGGGCTCCCAGGAGCAAGAAGGCTCACAAGGGGTAGAGGAGCTCATGACAATGAGCACAGCCAGTGTGGACAGGGAATTCCCGTGCTGATAGTCAAGCTCATTCTTAGGAATTAAGACTCTCTGTGAAGACAGAGACAAGTCACCAAGAAAAACAGATGACTCCAGAGCACAATGGACAGACTGTCACCTGCTAGGAGGTCAGTCAATGCATGCTGTGCTGGGCCAGGTGTGCACACACACCAGACCACACACACGTCACACATGCACATACCAGACCACACCCCCACACACACCCCACACGCACCACGTACACACATACTGCATAAGCACAGCACAGACCACATAGCACACATACCACATAAACCATACATGCACACCACATGCACCACACACCACATAGACCACGTGCACCATGCACACACACACACACAGCCCTAAATGAAGTGGTGGCTCTATGATTCAGGGCACAAGCACCACTTGGTGCCACCACTGAGGAACAGGAAGTGAACCACAACCAGGGACAACAGGCCCTCTGCGTGGCTTTCCCCTTGCTGCTGCAGGATTCCAGCAGTACGCAGAGCACAGCACTTACCCCAGAGGAGGACAGAAGGAGCTCGGGGTGACCAGGCACCACAAAGATGCGGCTCACAAACCTAGGGCGAGAGAGATGACGGTCAGTCACCTGGACCCTGAGAGCAGCCTTCCACCCCAAGAGGGAGGCTTCTGTGACCTCCCACAGAACCAACTGGTCCTGGGAGCAGCCTTCCATCCAGGAGGAGAAGCCGGCTCTGAGGACAGTATCATCATTAGAAGGTGATGGCCTCCTGACGGGGGCTGCAGCACTCTTGGGTCCCCCATACTTCAACCTTTATCTTGAGGACAGGCACTGGGCACAGCTGAACTCCCAGCCCTGCCTGCCATAAAGTTCCCAGAGTGTGTGGCACCTCCACCAGCTCCCATGCACCTGCCTTCACTCTACATTGAAGGCTGACCTGGGCCCCGGGGAACCTCAAAGGACAGAGCACAGGGAAATAAGGCAGCTACACTGACCAGCAGCTGAGTCAAACCCTAAGGGTCCTCAATGTGACCCGCCTGCGTATCAGAGATCTGTCTTGGCCAAACCCAGCCAGGCCCAGCCTCTGACAGCACAGGACACAGAGGCAGCCACTGTCCTGGCCAAGCAGGCATCAGGAGTGGCATGCTCTCAGGAACCCCTTGGCAGGCCTGCTGGTCACAAACAAGTCAACCAGTGCCCTGCTTCCCCCAGCTCTAACACAGTGACCTTGAACTGTCACTACGCATGGGCTCCTTTCGTCCCCACCAGCCACTACATCCCACCCATGTGAACCATAGGAACAAGTTAAATATGTTAGCCACCATGGTAAACAGTACAGAAGAGCAGGTAAAAAACTAATTTTACTTTTTACATTAGCAAGGCTCTGGGCTCCATCTCCAGTACTGCAAAAAACAAATCAAGTAAAAAAGGGACAAATTTTAATGCTGTTTTACTGAACCCAGTTATGTTCAGCAAGTGACAGCTTTCCAGAGAGGGATGGTTGGAGAGAGCCGTGAGGAAGCAGGAGCACTGAGCAGAAAGCTGAGGGAATGTCTCAGGAAGATCATTCTTGTTAGCAGAACCAGCACATGCAAAGGCCCTGAGGTAGGAGTGCAGGACTGTTGGGGCCAGGAACAGCAAAGATGGCACTGAGACACAAGCAATGGGGCAGGGCTAAGGGACCACAGGCCTTTAAAACTGCAGCTGGGATCAGCAGACAATTAAGAGTCAAAATAAACTGCCCACTTATCCTAGGCACAAACTGACTACCAACCTTCTTAAAGGCCCACTTTTGCATTCTTCTCAAGAAAGGAGTAATCTCACAATTGAGTCAAAGCCCTTCAACGGTTTGCACTGCCTGAAATAAGTGTTTTAGAGCACTCCAAGCAAGTAAGCTAAGTGTTTCCCTTATGCAAACTGTCATTAGCCTCTAACCCAGGAAGAGCTGTTCTCTTCAGAAATGCCTCCACCTGTGGATCAAAGTCTCACTCCTGCGAGCACAGCAAAGGTGGGGCCTGGCCTTGGGTGGTGGGCATCTAATTCTGACACATGTAATGCCCAAAGGATGCTCGGTACACCAACAAAGCCACCTTCTGCTTGCTAACAGCCAAGACTCTGAATGTCTCTACGCCATCAAAATTCTCCAGAAACAACGTGGAATCTGGGTGAGGAGCAGTACCCAGAGAGGGCGGCTCACGGTACACACACTCCACCGCCAGAGCGTCTGTGGTTCTGAGGGGCAGGGCCAGGGCTACCACACTCTAAAGAGGAGGGCTGACCAGGGGAGAATCGGCTCCTTGGGGCAAAGGGCTTCAGCGTGGCTCTTCGGTGCCCCTGCCAGTCTAACATCAGCTCCCGGCACCCTGGACCCACCCTCAGGGTCTTCAGCCCAGGGTTCTCTGGGCTGGGAAGGGGACAGGAGGACCACACTCACTCCGTGTGCCCCAGGCAGAAGGCCTCGATGCTGTGTGGTGCTGCAGCCCAGCTGACCCGAATCTTCTCATCCCTGTCCGCAGTGAGCACGAAGTGGTCATCAGGACTCACGGCCTGCATTAGCAGGGATGAAAGAAAAAGAACCACTCACTCACTGGCTTCTCAGACACACCTGGTGCCACGCACCTCCTGCCTCTCTCGGCGGGAAACTGGCTGGGGGGCAGGAAGGGGACCTCTCTGGGCCAGAGCCACACCTTAGCACATCCAAACCAACTCCTATTCGACCTCCCATACCACTGGGCCACCTCTCTGACATGTTCTTACACCCAGCAACCACCAAGTCCTGGTGAGGTCCCATCCTATGCCCCTGCCCCAACCCTGTCTCAGTCTGTCCCCGCTCTACCACCTGCGGACTACAGGCCTGGATGTTGGGAGGATTAACAGGTAAGGCCAAAGAGCAGGTGGCACATGGTGGAACTCACAGCACAGCACGGCCAGGAGCGCCGGCCCAGGGCTCTTCCCACCCCTCTGCTAACTGCATCACCAACCGGGGTCCATGAGGCTGTCCCTCATGTCTGGAATCACACATCGCCCTCCAACTCTCCTGTCTTCATTGCCTCGCTGTCCTACTTACCTGCCTCAATTCTGTCCTGAGGTCTCCCACACTCCTCCCTGGTCCACCCCACCTCTGCCCTGCCTGGGTCTTGGCTGGGGCAGAGCATCCCCCACGTACCACATCTAGCAACATGGACAGGTGCCCAAGCTCGAGCCTGCCGCATCCCTCGGGCTCCAGCACCGAGAAGGAGTAGACATCTCCGGATTTGTCAGCCACCAGGACCCGCTCCTCTGAAGCAGTGAAGGTCAGCGCTGTGCACCTCCTCACCACAGTCCTGAATGGCCAGAGAGATGCCCTGGTGAGTGCCCAGGATCCAGCACAGGGTCCTCACAGACCCTCAGGCCACATACAGATGGTCTCTAACTTAAGACGATTTGATTCACAATTCAAATTCTCTTTTCAGTGGCGAAAAATCGCACACACCCACCGTTTTTCACTTTTACTCCAGCATTCAACAAGTGACATGAAGTATCAACATTATTACAAACAGGCGTGTGATTTTGCCGAGCTGCCACAAATGACAACGCTCTGGGCCAAGTTAAGGAGGGTGAGGTGAAGAGAGGGTGCCCACTGCTTTGGTGTAGAGTGTCTTCCACCCCACAACGCTTCTGAGTTCCGACAGACTTAACAGGCCATGGACCCATCGTGATCCAGGAGTGTCTGCTCTGCCGGCCTGAGTCGTGTACTGCCTAGTGCTCTCTCTCTGGCTACAGAAGAGGGTGCCAAAAAATAACGCCACCCAAAGAACTGAAACAAAGCAACCTTGGACCTGTTTGACTTCTATAAATTTTTTCTTTAAGAAAACTGATCCAAGCCAGGCATGGTGGCACATACCTGTAAGCCCTGCACTCATAAGGCTGAGGCAGAGGTATCTCAAATTCCAGGTCTGTCTCAAAAAAAGAAAACTGCTCCTAGTAGGTGTTTGAAAACTGTCAGAATAAAATGCTGGGTAAGCCGTTCCTTGATCCCAGACAGAACCTCTGCTGTGTATTGAGAGAGACAAGGATAAGCTTCATGAACACTACCTGTGTTCTAGGCCACTGATGGGGACAAGGGTACATGCCACCACCCAGGAAACCCTGCCCTTGACTCCCCCCACCCAGCGGGGCCACCTGGCTGGAGCCCACAGCCTTAGTGACAAGAGCTGCTGGTTCAGCCGCACGGAACCAGGAATCTCATGCCCTGCTGGTGGATGGTGCCACTCTCTTCCACACTTAGCACTGAGCCACACACACAGAGGACAGGACGGCACGAAAGACAGCACTTCACTGCGGAGAGGAAGGTCACTGTGAAACAACAGGGACCACTGCGGATGGGGCAGAGTGGTTGCATTCAATTCAGCACAGTCACAAAATCCTCCTGTGACATGCAGTGTCACATCTGCAAGTTGGTTCAGTAAGGGACTGCCTCATTCGCTCCTCTCCCTTACCCAGGGTGGGTTGGGCCTCTTCTCTCAAGGTACCTTTCCAAGTAGCAAGAGCCAGCTCTACTCTCTGCAGGGGGTGCACAGGCTTCATCCTACACGTGTATGCTGTAACACTGACCCACACGCCCTCTACACTGACCTGCCTCCTGCTTTCCTTTGCCACCTGAGGGCAGGCAGTGCCTACTCTCAATGAAGAACTTCTGCCCAAGCAGAACACACAGTGCCTGGTTTGCTTCCTCTGGATTACCAGATGCAAACCTGAGGCGAAACCTGAAGCCTGAGGAACTGTACCCTCAACACATGCACCACACAGGACAAAGGGCAACAGAAGTTTTGGGGTGACTGCATTCGTCCCTGCCCCTAGCAGCTGGCCCACTCCCCCATTCAGTGGGTGAGAAAAAAGAAAGTGAACAGGCTCTGGGTAGACTGATCCAAATCCTGAATGTTGTAATTTAAACAAAGGGCCGGGCACAGACCCAGCATCAGGAACAGATCCAGGGAGAGCCGCGTGCGGCACGGGTGTGCACTCCCACACCACACCATGCCACCTAGCTGCACACAGAAACAGCAGCCCTATCTCAGCCCTTTGCTTGCCAGTTGGGCCTTTCAGACTTTCAGGCTCAACTTGCTCCCATGGTGATGACAGGCTGCCACTCAGCTGTAGGGAGGTTTGGGATTAGGGTCTGAAGGAGTAGACAGAATGGGACAGGTTTATCAGACAGAAGACAGTGCGCAAGTCGCCCCCAGCTGAAGGCACCCTGGGGAGCTGAGGCAGTGGCCTCACCAATCCTCAAGACTGTCCCAGATCTCATGGCCCAGACCTCAGCAGAACAGAGTGAGTATCCAGCTCCACAGGGCCCCACAAGGCTGGCCTTGCCTCTGCCGTCTACCAGATTGTCACATGACCCAGCCTAAAAGTTCCCAGACTAGAGGCAGCCCCCAGAGCCACCCTGCAGAGACTTGGGAGGCCAGGCCCTGCAGGGACTGAGGAGACCAGGTACCATGCTTGCTCTAGCCCCCACTCCCCAAACTCACCTTCCCAGAAGCCCAGCACAGAGCAACTCAGGTCTGACTTCTAGTGCTGCCCTTCCAGTGCCACTGCTCCTGTCCTGTGCGTATTTCCTACATAGTGCAATCTTACGTGGAACATTTCCTGTTTATAAACGCATGTCAAAACCGAAGGTACCAAGTCTCAACCCATGTCCTCACCTTGGATTGGGAACCCTGGCCTCAGGTCCAGGGCAGGTGACAGTCTCCAGACTTGCCCAGATCCCAGGCCGTCCCATCCTCTGTCTCTTTAAATTGCCACCTGGAACAATTCCATCTTGGCTGCGCCTTACAACCACCACTGTTTGACCGGAAGCAGCACATAACCAAATGACTGCTGGACAGAGAAAAGGTCTGACCCCACCCGTCACATGGACGTCAGCCACAAGTGCACAGAGCTCCCAATACTGGGCTGCACAGTAGACATATAAAGGATGGGGATTCTTCAGGAGAGAGGCTCCATCAGATCCAAAATGGGTCTGTGTCCCCAACCAGTAAAGAGCCACCATGTGCATGGCAGCCTGCACTGTGACCACACCAGCCCTGGCATGCCAGCCAACCGCCCCTCTAGGTGTTCTATCAACACCCATCACAACCCCCACCCTTGCTCCTTCCCCTCCTTTTTCTTGTTCCCAGAATACACTCCCATTAGACTTCACACAAAGAGGACTGAGGACTTTCACCCAGTGCTAAAAATTTTACAAACCCAAAATCCTACAGGAAACATGCTCTCCACTGGGTTGAGTCACCATGAGGAAAAAGCGAAATGACAAAGGTGACCAAGTCCTTTACCCAGTGGCTCAAAGGCAGTAAAGCTGCAGCCAGAGCAGCACAGGCCTCACCATTCCAGGCAGTACTGCACACCCACCCTCACCTCCACCCCCACCCTCTTGCAGAGCCTGGGTTGTGTCCTCTGATGTCCTGACTGCACCTGATCACATCACCTGTCTTCCACACCACCTGGTGCAGATGTTTCCCATACAGATTCATCTCGCTGATACCAACCTAAAATTCAAGAGCAAACTGACAGCACTGACCCTGAAAACCAGAGACACTTCACACCTACATCCTCATAATTCACAAGAGCTTCGACTATTTTGGCAAAAGGAGGCTTTTTACAGTAAAAGTGATGTCAATTCAAGGTGGGCAGCTGGAAGCAACAATGTATTACAATTTGACACATGGGGACACATTTTTAAGTCATTTTCCAGGTTGGGAGCATGGCTCAAGTGGTAGAATGCTGGCCTAGCAAGGATAAGGACCTAATTTCAAACCTCAGTACCACCAAAAAAGAAGTCATTTTCTGGTAATGACCTGTCACTGTCACTGTCCGTGGGAAGGTAGCTGGGAGAGCCTGGTGCACTGCTCAATGCACATCCTTGTTTATTTCTGTAGTAAGTGTCGACACCATGTGCATCTCTGACCTAGCTGACACATGACACCACACACAATGCTTATCACAGATGAAGCAATGTGATGTAACTTCATTTTTAACCCAACTGGAAAGGAGTAGAATGGGCATTCTTGCTTTTCATTTGGATTTGGCTTTTTTACTCTTCTCTTACAAAACATAATAAAAGAAAACTCTAACCTCAGTGAACCCAATATGGCATGAGCCAGCTACAGCTTCCTTGTACTCTCTGTTTACACCTGAGTGTCAAAGGAAGAGAGGAATGCGAGTCCAGGCTGATGGCCAGCTTCCATCAGCTTCCTCCAGCTCAGTGTTCAAACGCTGTGATCCAGCTGCCTCTGAGTGTCGAGGGAAGGGGAGAACCCAGGTCCAGGCTGGACCTGATCCCTGTGCTATTGACATCTATGTCCCACAGTAACCAAAATGATTCAGCCCTCACCCTAGCCAGTAAGTATTGTGGACTGCCAGCGCCAACAAAGATGTAAATCCACCCAGCATGGGATGCTAGAGTCACAGCTACCTCCTCACACAAGGACATGGTGGCACCGAGAAAAGGCAGCAGCACAAAATGTAGGGTCCACCCCAGAAGTGACAGACAGCTTGAGCAGCTGTCTGAGAGAAAAGTGAGGCCACACACTGCGTCCCTGCCTGAGTCACTATCCCCCAATATCCTGTCTGGCCTCCATGCTTTCAACTATGCCACACACACACCTCCCCTTACCTAAAGCCCTGACACTCTCAGGTTACAGGCTCACACCTGGCTCCTGCCAGGTCCTGGGCTGGGGGAGCACTGTGTAGCAAATGGACAACTCTGTGGCCAAGCCTACTGGCCTGGAAATGACTACCTAACTCTGCACCAGAGAACATGGGGGAGAATAAGGCTCTACCACGCTCACAGGCTGTCGGGAGTCAGCTAATACACAAAAGTACTAGAATCGGTGTCTGGCTGTCGGGTTAGTGCTTATCACTAACCTAACTGTCCTCTCCAGGTCAATGGCTTGTTACTATGATTACTGTCACTACTGCTACCAACATGCAAGTACAAGGTGTGCATATGACATCTTAATGATTCAACATTAGCATTTCATACCTGACACTCAGACATTGCCATGGTTTTGTACGGAAAAGAATCAGACGCTTACTGTCATCAGTTAAAGCAAAATAGCTGCCAGACTTGGAGAAGGTGGACGCCAGAATCATGTCACTCCCCTTGTCCACAGGCTGTCCGTTCTCCCTGAAAGAGAGGAGGGAAACCATGAGGCCTTGCCTGTGGAAAGAAGGAAGGGAGGGAGGGAGACTGCTTTCCTCATTGCCAGCCTCTTCAATTCCTAACCTACCCAGGGAAGGCAGAAAATATTAAGAGTTAATCTCACATACCAGAATTAAGGTGACTTGAGGAAGCTCAGAAAACTGTTCTAATTCTACAAGATTAGAACCTAACTAAACCTAACTAAGCAGAGTCTCTCAGTGACCATGCCAGATCCAACGAGCTGGGCTGTCAGGGCCCTCCAAGATCATGTGGCCTACGCCTTCATGGAATGGACTAATGTGAGGCAAGAGGCAGGGATCAAATCGTATTTCAAAGTAATAACAGAACAAACTGAGCCACAGACCAATGATACCAAAGACAGCGCTCAGCGCTATACAAAACAATCACACACTCTGCTTTCCTTGTCTTTCAATTAGCTGAAAAGAATTTCCCATCCTGCCTTCAGTGCATTTTAAATATTCACTATTATCTCAAGGAAACAGTAAGACAGTTAATTACTGGCAGAAACTGAAGGTATTTGGAAAAGTCCTAAATACTCTTCCTACCTGAACTGAAAATTACTTCCATGTTTCTTTCCTGAGGAGGAACTTAGTTTAGCCACACAAAGGGGTAAAAGAAATTAAGAAATCAGAAAGACAATTATTTTCAGGCTCCGGTGTCCTATCACTCTAACTGTAAGCCCTCCCCCTGCACAGGCTCCCGGTCCCCTTACCCTTTACTTTCTTGCGACTTCTTCTCTGCAGTGCTGCAATCATATGTGAAGAGACTGTCATCATCACTAAGGGAGAAAACAAGAAGGAGCACTTTGTTAACAAAAATGCAGCTCTGTTTGTTTTACCTTTGGAATAGAAATATTTGTACACTAATTCAATTATAGGTCTTATCCATGCCAAGAAAGAAAAATGTTTTGGTATAGTATTTCAAAGGAAAGTTAAAGAGCTGTTCTAATACTGTACCTGGATATATGCTTAATCTATTCAGATATGCCATATACACCCAGCATGGTTCTTTACACACACACAAAACAGCAAAATGAAAGAAAACCCAACAGAAATTAATATACCATTCAGGCACTACAAAACCAACACATCGATTATAAGAAGAAATTACCTTCTGATATTTGGGATTTTTGCACCTAAATTATTTATTTATTTATTTATTTTGGGGGGGGTGGTACTGGGGTTTGAACTCAGGGCCTTATGCTTACTAGGCAGGTGCACTTGAGCCACTCTGCTACACTGCACCCAAATTTAAAACAGCCATTAGGTGTTCAGAAAAATATCTCACCTCCTGGAAAAAGCCCCATACGGGAATTACCCATTCTCCCCATCAGTCCCTACGCCCTATTCAGATTATTCCACCCACCCCTGGTACTAGAAGGTACCCAGTACATACAGAGCCTTAAAGGGACACCACTCAAAGGCTCTTCCCACCAAGCACTGCACTGCAGAAAAAAAAAGCCATCCTCCACGTCAGAAACTGCCAACCACTAGAGTTCCTCCAAAGACAGACTGCAGGAAGCAGATCACGTCTAACAGACCCTTGGCTCACAACTACAAGTACTAAGGGCTGTAAGTCTCAAACAAAACAATCTGGAACACAATACAAGTCTGAGGATGAAAACTCTGTTCACTCTAGATTTAACCTTGAATACGCTGTATAAAGTTCACTTAACAGACACGTCATCTGTTTTAAGTATCAACGAAACAAAACCATCTGGGCAAGGAAACAAGTGGCCAAAACCGACCACGACTCGTGTCCCCAGGTTCCTTGATCAAGACTATTCCGTCAACAAACGTTTACTGACAAAAATCCTGAGTCTTGTCCAATCACTGGGGACACACTAAGGAAGGAGAGGGAATTACAGAAAGCAAAAGCAGGGCCGCGAATAGAACCACTGGGGAACAGCGGAGGGGGACCCGCGCCGCTAGACCCGCGGGGCGGCCAGCGCCGCCCACGTGACCGGTCTGCCCGACGCCGCGCAGACGCTGCACGGTCCGGAAGTCCGGAGCCTGACAGCCGGAGGGCGCCATAGCCTCGAGGGACGGGCAGGTAGCAAAGGGCCCATGCGCCACACTGGACCCGCGGCGGGCCACAGGCTCGTGGGCGGGGCCGCCCTCCGGTCTCCCCTTAGAGACGGAGATCGGCCTCCAGGATTCCCGCTGCGTCCCCAGTCTATGCCTCTCACCTGCTGGCAGTGGAGCTGACCAAGAAGCGGCTGCCGCCCCGCACTACCAGCGCCTGTCCGCACAACGCCAGCCCAGCGGAGCTCGCCATGTGCCCGCCCTCCGCGCAACCATCCACGTGAGCCGCCCAGAGCCTCTTCCGGTTGGCGCAGGGCAGTGACGTCACGGCACTACCGCCCAATAGCGCCAGGAGCTGGGACCCAGCCTTGCACACGCCGGAACTTCCGGAGATATTTACCCGTCCACCCACCACCGTAGGTTTCCATGTAGGTGTGGCTTTCTGCCTGGAATCTGTCTTGTCCTGTGGTCGTATTATCCATCCTTGAGCAAATGCCACCCAGACCTAATCACTCCCGCGGCATATCAAGTTCTAGCATTTATTAGAGCAAGACTTTTCCTTCAAGACTTTTTCTTCCTTCTCCCAGACTTCCTCCCATCCTCCACTTCCCACACTGCCTGAACTGTTCATGGACATTTTTTCCCCTTCCATGTAAACATTATGCAATAAGATTATCAGGTTCCCAAAAAAAAGAAGAACCCTGCTGGGTTATTGATTAGAATGTAACTAAATGATTAGGCTATTTGTGACGAAAATTAACACGGTTACAGTATTTAGTGTTGCTGGAATGGACGATGCTCCAGGGAGGAGGTCTCCAAAAGGGAGGCCCTTAGATACCGAATTCGTGATGTTGTTGCAAAAAAAAGAATATTAGCACACACCGAGGTGGAGACCAAGAAGTTTGTTGGTGAAGCAAAGGAAAGATAGAAAGATAGTAACCAGCCCGACATGGTGCGGCCACATCTGATAGCAGGTGCAATGAGTACTCTAACATCAGGGTATTTATAGTGAAAAAGTGGGTTGAGGGTTTGTTTGAATTCACTTAGGAAAAGTGCCCCCCTTTGTTCTGACACCTGGTATAAGCAGTTGCTTTTGATGTTATGCTGTCTTATCAATTAGGCCCAAGATTTCAAGATTTACCTGCTCATTAAATTTGTCAGTATGACAGATGTTTGAGCATCATTTTAAACAAAGGGTGCGTCCTGCCAGATGTTGACTTCAAGACAGGTGTCCATCCATGCGGTATTTTTCTTTGTAGACACTTTTTGTCCCAGAGGAGTTATTTTCCTAGGTGTTTTCCCCAGGATCATTCTTTAAGATATCCTTGCTCAGTTCTCAAGAGTGCACTAATTATTTTGGAACAAGCGGGCAAAGTAAGAGGAAGAGAACTGGTTTTTTTCCCTTTTTTTTTTTTTTTTAGTAAATGTTGCGGCTTGTTGAGGGAATGTGAAGTTTAAAGCAAAGACAATAGTGCCTATATGCTTTTAATTAAGCTATCTATTAATACAGTGTTTATCTCTGAATTCCTGGCTACCGTTTCCCATGCCTTAATTTCCCTGACCTATCCTGCCTCATTTAGGAGCACCTTTTCTCTTCATTTACTATCTTCCCCTTCCTGTCTTCCAATAAAATTTTGTTATTTTGTCCCTTAAAGGCATACACAAGTTTTTTTAATGTATTTTTACCAAAAAATATGAGGGCTTACTCATCTAATGGAATCCTTTGATAATTACATTTTCTGTTTGTTCCTGGTGTCTAGAAGTACAGTTTCTATTTTGTAAATGGCACACCCAGCAGTTTTGTTGAATTCTTTAATGAATTCTGTACTGTTTCTAACTGTTCTTAGGGGCCACCATGCTGGTGTTTCCCAGGCAGCCAATCAGGGGCCGCCCGGCTGGGTTTGGCCAATAGGACGCGAAGGTCTGGGGCGGGGGCGGGGCATGGCGAGCGGGGGAAGAAAAGAAATAGGTTTTTTCTCCATCCCCAGGGGGCTGGTGGCTTCCCGCCGTTGCTAATCTCTGGGTTGCCTTGCTGCCTTCTGGCTTCTCAACTCCTCCATCATGGTGTGCTCTGGTTTGAATGTCGCCACCAAAACTCATATGGAAATTTAATCCCAATTATGAGGTATAAGACATTGGGGCATGGGACAACTAAGAGTGAAGGCAGTCACGAGGGATTAACGCATCCGTGCAATTAACCGACTAATGGGGCCGCAAGGGAAGGCAGGCTGGCTCCATCTCAGAGTCGCCCCTCTCATCTTTGCTGCCATGCACTGCCTTAGGACTCTGCCGAGTCCCCACCAGCAACCAGGCTGTCAGTAGATGCATCCTTTCCTCCTCAGACTTCCCACACTGCCAAAAATGAACCTTTAGTCTTTATAAATTATCCAGTCTGTGTAACTCCGTTACAGCAACAGATAGTGAACTAAAATACCAATTCCTTGCACTAAATTCCCTGTTGTGAACACCTGGCAAGGGCTTCTGTTTTCCTAGCTAGCTGGCTGCTGCATCCACCCAGACCCTGTCCAAAATCTTCTCCCTCAAAGCAAAGCCACTGCACACAGTCCTCTCCAATGAGATGAAAACAGGGGTCACTGGATGGAACTTTTTTTTTTTTTAATGGTGTCAGAGGTGCTTAAACTTCTTTTGCTGAAAAGCACTGACTCCTTACTCAGGCCAATGAATTAACTAAAAACAGGAGAAGCTTGACATCCCTGCCTCCATTTTGTATCTGTCTCTGCTCTAAGCCATTCTCTCTGCAGTCATTTTGTGATCAATTTAGATTCCAGAAAGGACAGAACTGATAACCTCTTTATGACAAGGGACTGAAGCTTCCCATAAGGAACAGTGGAGCCCTGCAGGACAGACCACCCTCCAAATGAGAACAATGACCCGTAATGATGAGGCTGCATCCTGGAGCAGGAGCAGTCATCTCATCAGAAACAAGACTGCCCCCCTCAAGTGATGACAGTGATGACACCTTCTCTGGAACCCCCCCCGCGAACCCTTGGACTAAGATAATGGTCAACCAGAACATACCTGTGACTGAATGTTTGTCTTGTTCTTTGTCTACTTAAACCTATAATTCATGTCTGCATCCTGAAGATGGCTGAAGAGGCGCTGAGTGCTCACTCTGTCTCTTTTCATGGGCTGCCTCAAGCCGTGTAATAAACCTCCTTTCTCTGCCTTCACCACACCTCTTTATTTGGCATTTAGAGGCGAGTGGCTGGACCTGGCATGTGGAATACCAGGAGTTTTGGGCCTTGGGTCCAAAACTCTGGTTTCAGTGCTGGGGTTTGAACTCAGGGCTTCATGCTTGCAAAGCAGGTCCTCTACCACTTGAGCCACACCTCCAGTCCACTTGTTCTGGTTAATTTGGAGATGCGGTCTCACAAATTATTTGCTTGGGCTAGCCTCAAACCTCAGTTCTCCCTATCTGAGCCTCCCAAGTAGCTAGGACTACAGCCACCAGTGCCTGGCTTGCATGAGACATCTGACACTTTGCTTTCCTTGGAAAAAGAGACAGACTCAGGTGTCATGAGCCCTTTCCCACTCTTTCTTCCTGCCTGAAGTGCCAGCGTGAGACTGCAGCATCAGCCTACCACCCTAAAGTGCGGGGGTTGAGGACAAAGCCATGTGCTAATGACAGCTGAGCAGAAAGATAGGAGGAGCCCAAATCAATAGCCAGTGGGTCATCACACACCAGCCCTGGGCAGCCAGCTCTTGGGGTTGTAGTGTAGAACAAAGGAGCCCTCCTTGTCCACCCAGCACGTTTTTTCTGTTCCCTGATACCAAACACATTCTCTGTGCATCGAGTTATGATAAAATCACTGATAAAGAACACCAATTTCAGGCTGGTGGAGAGGCTCAAGCAGTAAGAGCATATGCCTAGCAAGTGTGAGGCCCTGAGTTCAAACCCCAGCACTGCACAGAATTAACTGCTTTGTTTCTTCCCTTGTGACCTTTTCCTTCCCTGTTTTCCTTTTCTTCTTTTTTTTTTTATTAGCTATGAACACAAACTTATCATTCACCAAATTTGGGGCGTTGTTTTTTCAAGTATTTTCCTCTCATCTTTCCCCTCTCCTTCTGGGACTATAAATAAATACGTATTAGACCTTTCAACATTGTCCCACTGGTGCCTGAAAACCTCTTTTTCCTCCAATCCTCTTTCTCTCTGTTCTTCGGAATTGTGTTTCTCTGAATCTGCCTTCAAGCTAACTGACTCTTCTGCCATTCCCAAGTTCCTGTTAAACTCAACCAGTGAGCTTATTTTAGACACTGTATTTTTCAGATCTAGAATTTCCATTTGCTCATTTTTTAAAAAAATAAGTTTTTATTTATCTACTGAGACTTCTCATGTTTGTTATTGTAAGCAAAATTTTCTGTACATCCTTTAACTGAGTTTAATATCAGTCTTAAAATCCTTGTCTGCAAGAAGCCAGCATCTGCCAGGCACTGGTGGCTCACACCTATAATCCTAGCTATGTAGGAGGCAGAGATCAGAAGGATTGCAGTTCGAAGCCAACCCAGGCAAATGGTTTGCCAGACCCTATCTTGAAAAAATCCAACACAAAAATGGACTGGTGGAGTGGCTCAAGTGGTAGAGCACCTGCCTTGCAATTGTTGAAGCCCTGAATTCAAACCCAGTATTACCACATCCCCAAAAAAGAATCCAGTATCTCACTGGCTATGATAAATTTTGTGTCAGTCTGGACTAAGGGATACCTAGATACCAGGTAAAACATTGTTTCCAAGTGTGCTCATGAAGATGTTTCTGGAAGAGATTTAAAGGGGCAGAAGAAGGCAGAATTCTCTCTTTCTGAGCTGGGACACCCATCTTCTCCTACCTTCAAGCCCAAGTTCATTTACTCACCATTTGAACAGAGGTCCAATGAATCAAGGACAATTTGTTGGAGCAAGGAAAAAGATTCACTTGGAATGCCAGTGAAATAAGATGGTGGCAGAAATGACCATTTAACTCGGCATAAGATTCAAGCTCCTTTTATCCTCAGGCAGGGGAATGAAGTGGGGATTATCTTAAGAAAGGATTGATGACTGGAGATTTTGTTCTGGACTGGGACATTGTGAAATCTGGTACACAGGTAATCAAAGATTGTGGTACCCCTGTAAATCTTTTTTGTTGTTATTTTTAGTGGTGCTGGGGTGTGAAGTCAAGGCCTCCCACTTGTTGGGCAGGTGCTTTACCACTTGAGCCATGCCCTCAGCTCTTTTTTTTGCATTAGTTATTTTCAGATA